CCCAACCCCAAATGTCATTAGTTCCCAAAATCTGCCATAAAGAGCAATGTGGATCCCTTTAGCAGTTTTAGGGGCCAGGCCCTAGGTGTTTCATTGATTCTGCATAAACAAAAACGGGCTGAGAAATGGAGTCTTCCTACATGGCCAGGATGAAAATGAAATGGTTTGGTGACTGCACAGAAACACTCAACCCAAATGAGCTTCAGGGTCAGAGCTACTGAGGAACTCTACAGAATATGGGGACAGGGTGAGTATGCCATAATAAAATCTCTGGATGTCCCTGAGATACTTAAGAAAAAAACCAAGTCTTCAATAGTGAACTTACTACTTAAAGGGAAGGAAATACCATACTCCCAGATGAAATGTGTTTATTTGCCTGTCATAATGTAGTTCATCCTTTAACAAAACCAAAATTTATTATGCTGTTATCCTAATATTACTGATCCCCAAATTTAAGTCCCTCTGAAGTTCTGACAGTGAGCCAGATTAATGCAAATTTGTCCAAGTCCTTGAGGAGAGGCTGTTGAATTATGCCTTAAATACCAGATCATTTTCTGATTTTTGTGTGTCATGTGTATGTGCTTAAAATTTATTGTGAGAAATAACATTCTTACCAATTTTTCATCCACCATCTGCATAACTTTTCCACTTGGCACGAATGTATTTACCATATTTTTCAGAGAACCTATTATAACCTTTAGCTGAAAAATAAATAAATAAAATGCTTACTAAAAGACATAACGAAATGCTAACATTTAATATTACCTTTTGGCTTACCCATATGCAGCTAAAAGAGATTGCTATTTGACAATATCATATATATATACGTATATTTGACAATATTTCAAATATATTATGTGTGTATATATATGTGTATGTGTGTGTGTGTGTGTATTTTTTTTTTTTTTTGAGGCAGAGTCTCGCTCTGTCACCCAGGCTGGAGTGGGGTGCTGTAATCTTGGCTCCCTGCAACCTCCACCTCCCAGGGTCAAGTGATTCTCCTGCCTCAGCCTCCCAAGTAGCTGGGATTACAAGCATGCACCACCATGCCTAGCTAATTTTGTATTTTTAATAGGGACGGAGTTTCACCATGTTGGTCAGGCTGGTTTCGAACTCCTGACCTCAGGTGATCTGCATGCCTCAGCCTCCCAAAGTGCTGGGATTACAGGAATAAGCTACCATGCCTGGCCTCAATTAATATATTAACACAGTAAATCTAATTTTATCTTTAAAGTGAAACTGATTGTTAATTATTCACGTGAAGGAAAATGACGCAAAGGGAAAGAAACAAAGGTAAAGTTTACAAAAAAGAACAAAGGCTACAGAGGAATGACCTCTTTTCCTCTATTATCATTTACTGTATATGGCAGAAAGGTATCAAAAGCACAATTTTAAACTATTTTGTGGGTAATTTCATGAAGTGTTCATTTAAAAATACAGTAACATTCAATAAAGTTAGAAATAAAAGATTTAATATGGAGTCTTCATGGTCCTTGGAAGGGAAATAAATAAATAAAACAAAAAATATGGCCGGGCACAGTGGTTCATACCTGTAATCCCAGCACTTTGGGAGGCTGAGGCGGGCGGATCCCTTGAGGTCAGGAGTTCTAGATCAGCCTGGACAACATGGCAAAACCTCGTCTCTACTGAACATATAAAAATTAGCTGGTGTGGTGGCAGGTGCCTATAATCCCAGCTACTTGGGAGGCTGAAGCAAGGGAATCGCTTGAACCCAGGAGGTGGAGGTTGCAGTGAGCTGAGATCGTGCCACTGCACTCCAGCCTGGGTGACAGAGTAAAACTCTGTCTCGAAATAAATAAATAAATAAAATAAAAAAATAAAGAAATAAAAGATTTAACCTTCACAGCATACCATTGGTGCCTTGTCAACCATCAATTCATGCCATCTTTTGTAGGGTGGTAAATCAAGATTTATGGTGTACCATGGAACTGGACCTCTGTACCTGTAATGAGAGGGGTAGCATCTTGAAATGCCAAAAGGTTTTTTTTGTGAGGGCTAGCTAGATATATCTATAAGGATATATGAGAGGCATATTCTTAACAGTGTAGAATTTGGTTACCCAAACCAAAATTTGCAAAGAAAGTTGATTCTCTACCTAGTACTTCTAGGTTGAGAACACAATCATCAGTGATCACGGAATCTTGGCATAGAATGCCATAGTAGGGAAGGTTCATGTGAATTGGTTTTATGAGAAAAAATCAGTTACAGCTTAAGAGCTCTAAACTGATAATCAATGATGGAAAATATCTGCCATTTTCCCCCCTAAATGTCTGCAAAAATTTAATCTAGGCTCTAGATACTTCTTCAATTGGTTTCCAGTTTCAGAATTCTCTCTCAGAGAGTCTAACACTATTGCCAAATCATTGTCTCTAGTGTTGGCTTCAGGAAGTTCAGGAAGATCCTTTTTTTTTTTTTTTTTTTCCTGGAGATGGAGTTTCACTCTTGTTGCCCAGGCTGGAGTGCGATGGCATGATCTCGGCTCACCGTAACCTCCGCCTCCCGGGTTCAAGTAAGTCTCCTGCCTCAGCCTTCCGAGTAGCTGGGATTATAGGCAGGTGCCACCATGCCTGGCTAATTATGTATTTTTAGTAGAGATGGGGTTTCTCCATGTTGGTCAGGCTGGTCTCGAACTCCCAACCTCAGGTGATCCACTCACCTCAGCCTCCTAAAGGGCTGGGATTACAGGCGTGAGCCACTGTGCTCGGCCAGGAAGATCACCTTTTAAGCCCCAGAGTGGCAACATTTATTAGCTTCCCATGATCAGCTTCAAGATCCTGCATGATTCTTTCTGTCAGCCATCCTAATCTTCCCTACTACACACCTCCTCTCTTCTCATTTTTCTGTACAAAGTCGAAGCCCAAGCCCTATTCTGTCATCTCCATACTCCAACTGCCTACTCTTTAACTTACATGCAGCAGTTTCTGAGGACACAGCAACATTCACTCACTTATCAATGGAGCTGGGCCATATTTCTGGTGGATGAATTCTACAACTACCTTTGTTGCTATTGGAACATTATTTTCTGGCTCTTGTTACTAAACTGAAGTAGTTTTTAAGGGTGTGCCATTTAGTGGTTTAGCAGTATAAACAAACCTATGCCTAAAAATAACCATCATCTGTTCCACTGATCTGCTCCTGAGACTGGTAGGGTGACTCTGGTGTGTGCCACAATGGGACCAGTCTCCTAAATTAAAATGTTATCTAGACTTACGTCTATAGGTGGGGATGGGTTATTACCTGAAGTCATGAACTGTGGTTCTATTTATACTTCCACTGCCATAAATAATTACTTGGCTCTCTAAATAATGCTGCGGAACTTGGGGCCCTGGTATATGTATGAAGTTTTATGAAACTGTTAACTAGCAGCCATTAAGGTTGTGATTTAGACAGAAAAGAAAAGCATACTCAATTTTGGAAACGTACATTTAAGCAAAATCATAGTGAATGAATTTTGTTCTTTTTAAGTTCCCCATTTTCTTAGGAGCTGATATCTACATGAAATACTATAATACTTATATTCTAGAAAAAAGCTTTTAATCATAACAAATTAATTCCATTTCTGATGGACCTCAATTTCACATGTAAAATTTTGTCTCACAATTAAATAAGCAATTATCGTTCCCCTTGTTATGGGCAGGTGTACCAGCCTCCCCTCTCCCTTCAAGGGTGCATTTAGATTTCTATGTCTAACAGCAAAGTTTACTCAGTGGCCTGCTGGAGCTACGCGTGTTGTGCCCATGAATTCCTATCAGCTGCTCCTCACCTCATAACAGCCAACCAATCCCAAATCATGCCCCTATATCTGCCATAAATTCCTGATTCTTTTTCTAGAGTCTTGGGTAGGCTCATGGATCTCAGAGAGGTGATGGAGAGGGGATGAACTCAACACAATCAACAGACAACGAACGGATTACAGTGAAGTGGGCATGATGAGAACCTAGAAACGTCTCAACCGTCAAATCTGCACTAATTAGAATTTGAGAGACCTGGTTAATCTAATAAACAAACATATTTTAATAACTAAAGCTTAGCCATAGTAACACATTTTATGTCCCATTAAACAGTTTTGTTTTGTTTTGAAATGGAGTCTCACTCGGTTGCCAGGCTGGAGTGCAGTGGCACAGTCTTGGCTCACTGCAACTTCCACCTCCCGGGTTCAAGAGATTCTCCTGCCTCAGCCTCCCGAGTAGCTGGGACTACAGGCACATGCAACCACGCCCGGCTAATTTTCTGTATTTTAGTAGAGACAGGGTTTCACCATGTTGGCCAGGATGGTCTCGATCTCCTAACCTCATGATCCACCTGCCTTGGCCTCCCAAAGTGCTGGGATTACAGGTATGAGCCATTGTGCCTGGCCTTAAAGAGTTTTCTAAAACATTTCAATATTTAACTTCTGTACCTCAATTTACCATAGGAATAAAAGAGTATCTACCTTATAAGAACAGTGAAGACACTACATGAAAATGCAAAGATTAAAAAAACACTTAGCAGCACCGGTATTCAATCAATGGTAGTCATCACAGTATATTTTCCTACTTTACTACACACAAAAAATATCTTTTAATCCTTTTTGAGACTTAGTTTTTGCTATGTCCATGCTATTTATAGTATCAGTTACATGGGCTGAACCCACGTGTCTACCCAGGTGGCATGGAAACGAGGCCAAGTGAAAGAACACATATACAATAAGAGCGCAGGTGCGAGGCACCCAGGGAGCAGTGGGAAAGAAATGCTGAATGGACTCCGATGGATTCAGGGGTGATCAAGCTCTCAGTTCCTTTAACTCCAGCACTGATTGGACTAGTCATGCTGGCTGAACAGGTTATCTCTTTTTTTCCTCACATTTGCCCATGCATGCTGCCCAAGTGTATGCACTTAATTGAAAGGCATGATCTCACAGGTCCAGGACGACTGTTTGTCATTCAAAGGTACATAAATATCCACACTTATCTCCCAGGTCTCAAGATCCATTGTTAGAGGTCAGAGAGGACAAAGATGAGAACAAAGCTGAGGCTTTTTGTGTAGGAAAGCAGGGAAGTGAGGTAAAATGAAACTTAGCAGAAAAACGAAGGCTAGGAAAGAAACGTACACATCATGTCTACGCAAAAATGTGTATGTGTTTAGGGGTATATATGTATATGTATGTATACATGCATGTAAATATGTAGACATACACTCATGTGCACATGGCAATAAGGAATCAGTACAATGCCCAATCAGGAAAGGTTTATCGTTTGCAGGGCATTCGATTTATAGACATGTGTAAAGTGCACTTAAAAGGGAGTAGGAAACGCCTTAAACATGGAAGGCACCTCATGAAACATTCAGTGAACTGGGGCAGTAAGACCAGCTGAGAGACACAATCAGTAAGGCAGACATGTCACCGAAGGCCAGGATGATGCCAGTGATGACAGAAAGGATGACTTTCAGAGGGCAGGCCATTGAAGAAAGAGCTGGAATGAACACTGGATTTGAACAGCATCAAAACTGGTTTACAGATGCCCGCCACCACACCTGGCTAATTTTTCTATTTTTAGTAGAGATGGGGTTTCCTCGGGAGGCTGAGGCAGGAGAATCACTTGAACCTGGGAGGTGAAGGTTGTTGCAGTGAGCAGAGAGTCGCGCCATTGCACTCCAGCCTGGGCAACAAGAGTGAAACTCCATCTCAAACAACAACAAAACAAAAAACAGCAAAAAAACCTGGTTACCTCGAAATTACTTCCTGCCAAATACTGGCCTCTTTTTACATAAAGGCGAGTAAGTCACAAGAATTTAGTTTATTACAGTTTCATGCAATCTGGGACAGAGGCTATTTAGAATACATAGTTTAGACAACAGCAGTACAATGTATATAATTCGGAATGTTGCAGAAACTGAAAATGTCATCTTGATACCACTTGATAGAGTTGCACTGTTTTTGCCTACAACCAGCAGGCTACTTTCAGAGAGGGGGTAGAGTAGGATAAAAAGATCACCGTTCCCTATACCTGTTCCTTCTTCTGTTCTGTACCCTGACTCTGTGAGCTATTATTGTGTCTTTCTCACAGGCCCATTTAAACACTAAAGATTTGGAAGGACCAAATTCTAGACTAAAAATGTTAATGTTAAACACACTGAAACACGATTCTGGTCCTCCTCTTAGGTGTTCCAATCCTGTTTTGCTCTTGACAGCTTTGTCATGCCAAGGTTTATTCTGAGAACGTTTCACATATGAGGTTCTATGCTTTTTGTTCCAATATGATTTGGTGGTTTAGATCCAGGCACCACAGAGAATCACAGGCCATTTCAAACACAGCCCTTACATTTGTCAAAGATAAGAAAAACACTTAGTGGTAGATAGAGGAATTTAGTGGAAAATGAAAAGACTTTTCTTTCCTATGATTTTGATAGGCTAGCATTGGGCATCTGAATTGAAAGATATTTTCATATTTGTCTAAGATCTCAGCCAAATGTATAATACACAAATCTCAGAAACAAACCTCTGTCACAGGATAGAAAACATGACTTAAGTTCTTATTCACTATCATTAGTTTATGAGAGAGTATTACATAGAGGAAAACACTCTGCAAAGGTCAAAGGGAGTTTGGATATCCGACGTTTACTCACGTTGGTCCTGAAGGAGGATAGGTAGATTTTCTGCAGTCTTCTGTCCACTAAAAAGCAAAGAAAATTAAGTTTCAGAAAATAACAAATGCTTGCTAATGGAATAAGCAATTTGCAAAAGTAGTTAACAATCTGTGAAGATAAAATCAAATCTGATTTTGCTCTTTTATACCATTTCAATGCCTCTTAAATTAAGTCTTTTCCTCCAGAGAAAACTTCTAAAATCCTAAATCATTAAGTGGATTTTCAGTTTCAGTTCAGTTTGCAAAGGTCCTAGGTGTTATAATTTGGCTCTCATATTGCAAATATATTGAGTAATAAACAAATGTAAGAAAGCAGATGGAAAATGTTTATGTTAGAGATGCTGACTTAGCACTAAAAGTAAATAACCTGATGGGATGTATTATCTGAACTTATCAGCCATGTGTATTGCAACGTGTCCCAGGCTTTGCCTCCCAAACCAGATTTTCAGGGCACACAGCACAGGGCCCTTCATCATCTTTCCGTAACTTACCATCCCAGCCTCATCTCCTGACACTCCCCTTAGCATTTATAGCCACACACAAGCACTTCCTATGATCTTTCACCCTTGCATGCCTGTGCATGCAGTATTCTCTCTTGCTAGAATGCCTTTTCCCTAACTGGTGAACTTCTGGTTCTAACTTCTAAGATTCGGTTCAAGTATTTTCTTTCTCACGAAGTCCTCAGCTATCTTCCATATGAAAACAGTCATACCCTCATCTATACTCCCACAGCATTTGTACGCATGCTTGTCACCATGTTTATGACATTGCATTATATTCATTTGTTTGTGTCCCTTGTCAATACCAGACTCTGAGCTCCCTGAAGTGAGGACAGCCTCCATACTGAGGTCACTGCCTGAGACAATGAAGGAATGAGATAGTTTTAGGTAGAGTTGTCCAAGCTTAGTAGCAAAAGGAGAATCTTCTCCTAAACTTATCAAAAAAAGTCCATACAGATTTATGATTCTTTTGTTACTCGTTCAACATAGCAAGTGTATTTATCTCCTTTCCTCTAGAGAACCAATATAGTGAAAGTAAAATAATTATTTTAAAAAAGTATAAATCCACAATAAGAGGAAGTGGAGTAGGGAAGGAAACTCTCAGAACTATAGTTTGAACTCAGAAAATGTATCTGTTGCAAAGATGTGTAAGAATGGAGGTCTCACATCTTGTTTTAACTTTTGACAACATAGGGAATATATAAAGTAGGTTGACATTACCTGTGATTCAAACATTAGTTGTCAAATTTGCCTTACTGCAATGTAAGTTTCTCATATATGTGTGGCTTTGTATTGTAATTTTGCGTTGAATTCATTAAGAAACAATATCAAGGCCGAGCACAGTGGCTCACACTTGTAATTCCAGCATTTTGGGAGGCCAAGGTGGGCAGATCACAAGGTCAGGAGATCCTGACCATCCTGGCTAACATGGTAAAACCCCATCCCTACTAAAAATACAAAAAAATAGCCAGGTGTGGTGGCTCACGCCTGTAGTCACGGCTACTCAGGAGGCTGAGGCAGGAGAATCCCTTGAACTTGGGAGGAGGAGGTTGCAGTGAGCCAAAATCGAGCCACTGCACTTCAGGCTGGGTGACAGAGCGAGACTCCATCTCAAAAAAACAAACAAACAAAAAAATTAAGTCTGTAGCAAAATCTGATTTCCAAAGTAATTCATGTTCAATAATAGTGGATGGGGGCAGTTCTTGTTTAGAAAAATTTCACTGTCAACTGTGAACTCAAAGACTGCAAAACTGTACAGCTACTAAGTTATCTAATGGCTCTGTCACAAGAGACATCAGGATATCCAGCCTTTATTTCTGAAAAAAATTTGCAAAAATGATGATGGTTACATCCACAAGAACAAATGAAGCTCATGGTTTACATTGCTGGTTCAATAACACCCATGAGATTCCAATATTTTCCACAAAGTATCTAAAAAGGAATACTTTAATAAATAACCATACGCCTTCAACACCTTGGATGTTCATAAGTTTTGTGAATTTGCTCAACTCAGCCTTTTTCTTCTCACAAATATTTTTACCACTGTCAGTTGTTATGCATCTTAGCAGATTCCATTTCAGGTTATACTGAATCACTATTTTCTCAACTTCTTTGAAAACATTCTTGCCTACAGTTGTTTTACACAGATGATTCATAGAGGCTAATCCTTCAGTCACTTCAACCTTGGCATTGATCATCTAATAAATATCAACAACTGATCTGTATTGGTAATGTTGCGAATCAAGAAAAAACACTCAAAAGCACATGCTTTGTTCTTTGGTAGTGATGTTGCTCCCCAAATCCGGGACAACGGTCCTCATTTAAAGACATGGAAAAGAATTTCATTTGCCCACAATACTTCTGCTGCTGCAACTGAGTACAACGTAGTTAACCCGCCACTGGTAAACGGCCTCCTTATTTTGCTAGTAAATGAGCTACTTAGAGACTTATTTTGGTTGCAGCTTCATTTTATTTTTGAAAATTTGTAAATAAATTCTGCTGTGATGAGATACTCTGCTTTATATTTTCTTGTTTATCTGACCATTATTCTCTTGCAAGTTGGGAATACTGTGATGAGTACTTAACCTGAGTGCTTAATTTTATGATCATGTTATGGACCTATGACCCTGCTCCATTAGTGACTTGCAGAAAGTTACACAGCTGGTGACAAAATCAGAGTCTATGGCTTCCCCTGCTCTATCAAACAGCTTCCCACAGAGATAATAAAACCAATGCCTTGATTTAATTCCAAACAGAATAATCTGCACTTAGTTTGGGGCTTCTGATGATCACTAGAATCAACTCGGCAAACCAGTTGAAATGTAATGACTCCTATCCCTTTCACATAATTATATTTGCATGCCCTGGGTTCCAAAGCCTAAATAAACATCAGATTACAGGCACATTTCTTACTAAACAACGGTGAGGAAAGTTGAAAATGCCCTGTCTAGTATTAGGAGTGAATTTGACCTGCCCCAGAGGTAAGAGGTAAAGAGTAAGCTGGCAACAACACATGTGGGAGTCTCAGGTTGATAACCACCCTCGGTTGCAATAAACAAACATGAAGTCAGCATAGGATCTGGCTGCAAGAAAACAGAATAAATGTGAGAGAAAATAAGAAAGGTAGCAGCTATGAGGCCACAGTATTTAGGGGCTGACGTGGCATTAACGCCTGAGTCATTTATGCAAAAGGGTTCATTTGGGGGATAGAGTGGAAAACAAACTACTTCACCCTCAAAAAAGAATTCTACAGGGAGACACAGCTTCAAAACCCATAAATAGCCCTAAAACAGAATTATAATCAACTTATTCAATGTTACTTAAAGTTTCTTACTATCTCCCAAGTTTAACTACACATAGCTGTTTTTTTTTTTTTTTTTTTTTTGAGACAGAGTCTTGCTCTGTCACCCAGGCTGGAGTGCAGTGGTATGATTTTGGCTCACTGAAACCTCTGCCTCCTGGTTTCAAGTGATTCTCCTGCTTCAACCTCCCGAGGAGCTGGGATTACAGGCGCATGCCACCACGCTCTCCTATTTTTTGTATTTTTAGTAGAGACGGGGTTTCACCATGTTGGCCAGGATAGTCTCAATCTCTTGACCTTGTGATCTGCCTGCCTCGGCCTCCCAAAGTGCTGGGATTACAGGTGTGAGCCACCACACCCAGTCAAATATACATAGTTTCAATAACAGACAACTCTATTGAGGTAAGTAAACATTTAAATAGATGACAGGTAAAGATTAGAAACAGATAACAGGAAGAGATATTAAGTAGTCTGGATGGTATACTGTGTTACACCCTCCCACAGGAAACAAAATTCAACTTAGAATCAACTCTCTAGCCCTTTCCCCCCAGTACCTCTCTCTCTCTTTTCCTCTCTCTCACTCCCCTTCCCTCGCTTTCTCTCTGTCTCCCAGTTGTCTCCTAAGTGTGGTGAGAAGTGGTAAAAATCTGATGTTTCTCAATGCATTTGAAACTCTCTGGGGTGGGCACAGTAGCTCATGCCTGTAATTCCAGCACTTTGGGAGGCCAAGGCGGGTGGATCACCTGAGGTCAGGAGTTCATGACCAGACTGGCCAGCAAGGTGAAACCCCATCACTACTAAAAATACAAAAATTAGCTGGGTGTGGTATCGCATGTCTGTAATCCTAGCTACTCAGGAGGCTGAGATAGGAGAATCGCTTGAACCCGGGAGGTGGAGGTTGCAGTGAGCTGAGATCGTACCACTGCACTCCAGCCTGTGACACAAAGTGAGTCTCCATCTCAAAAAAACAAAAAACAAAAAACAAAGGCTGTGCCCGGTGGCTCATGCCTGTAATCCCAGCACTCTGGGAGGCCAAGGCGGGTGGATAACCTGAGGTTGGGAGTTCGAGACCAGTGTGACCAACATGGAGAAACCCTATCTCTACTAAAAAATACAAAATTAGCTGGGCATGGTGGCGCACGCCTGTAATCCCAGCTACTCGGGAGGCTGACGCAAGAAAATTTCGTGAACCTGGGAGATGGAGGTTGCGGTGAGCCACAGCTGTGCCATTGCACTCCAGCCTAGGCCACAAATGTGGAAACTCCATCTCAAAAAAGAAAAGAAAAAAAAAAATACCAAAAACCTCTCTGGAAAATGTTTTTAAAAGAATGCCTGGGTCAGCAAGTTCTCTAATTGTTCTGGTTATTTGACAGAAACTTAAGCCTCTTTGTCCTCCCCATTCATTAAGAGAAACTAACTACAGAGCTACTGACCATAACATTCTAAAGAAAACAAAAATATAAAGAGAAATTTATTTCATTAAGGTCTCAATGATGCTCCATACCCCTAAAAAATGACATAATTTGTACAGCTCGTTAAAATATTTGAGTCTTGCAGAATTAGGAGACCCTCAATGAAATGTATGCTTCTAATAATGTATTATAAAAGTTCAGAAAGCCATTGTGTGCTTGTCATATTCAAATACTCAGAGACAATGAAAGATAATCTAAAGTATATAGCTCATGTCAGTTTTTATACCCATCAGAAGCCGAATAACTCTAGCAAGACATTTAATTCAATTCTTGAATTCTTCAACAACTATTTTCCAGAAAAGATGTTACCTATAATGTCCTCGTATTTATAACTCAGCAGAAACACTGAATATGAAGAGGCCTGCTTCTTATGTGTATAGCAATTCACATGAGCATGTGAATGTCTTCACTTGTCTTCTGGGCTCTGATGGGATGGCCTCCTATTACTCTACTGATATTTAGGTCAAAGGAATGTGAATAAACCCTCCATGAGAGGAAGGACCTCATCTATCTCATTGGCTGACACATTGCCAGCCTTTAGAAGAGTCTGGCATACAGCAGGCATGCAGTATTTGTGGAATAAATAAACGGATTATACCTGTGTGTTCCTTCTTTGGAAGTAGGAGGGAAAAGCAGATGCAGTGCAATAAATTCCTAGGCCAGATAGGGACTGAGATTTTCGGCAACTGTGTGAAAATCATTGCTAAAGCTGATTCAATAGCTAATGTCAACAATGTTGTAACTCATATGAGAAGCTGATGCATAAAAACAACTTTACTTTGGCAAGTAATTACTATGCCATTATATTTCATCTTCACACATTTTGTGAAGTGGCTCAGATCTTTTACTCAGAGCAGCCATCTCTCTTTTGTAGTTCCTTTCCTGCCGATCACCCTCAGCCTACTGCAAGCTATTTTTTGCCCCCAACACTGCTCTGGCCGAGGTGACCAATGTTACTCAACATCATAACACTATTGACATCTCAATAATATTCAACATAGTTAATCTGTTACAGTCCCTTCCCTGACTTTCCTGTCATACACTTACTCTTCTGGGTTTTTTTTGTTTTTTTTTTTTTGTTTTGAGACAAAGTTTCACTCGTTGCCTAGGCTGCAGTAAAGGGGCACAATCTCGGCTCACTGCAACCTCTGTCTCCCACGTTCAAGCGATGCTCCCGTCTCAGCCTCCTGAATAGCTGGGACTACAGGCATGCACCACTATGCCCAGCTAATTTTTGTATTTTTGGTAGAGATGGGGTTCCCCCATATGGCCAGGCTAGTCTCACACTCCTGACCTCAGGTGATCTTCCCGTCTCGGCCTCCCAAAGTGCTGGGATTACAGGTGGGAGCCACCATGCCCGGCCTCTCCTGTTTTAATTTTCGCAGTTTTTCCTCTTCCTGACACATACATGTGCAAGTTTGCATAGTTCTCTTCTCTTTCTCTATCCTCTTTCTAGGTGATTTCGTCTGCTCCAAGGGTTTCAAATAATATCATAATGCCAATGACTCTCAATGTCTCTGAGTGACAGTCCCAGTGGTCTGCTGGATGTCTCTCTGCCATGTGAAATTTAACACATACCCCAAATGAAAACGATCCTCATCCTTTAGCCCCCAAACTTTCCCCTCCCCATGTTCCCTGACAGTGATGCCACTATTCGCCCAGTGAAGCAGTTCGGAAATGTGCAGGACACACACCTCACTCCCTCATCCGCACCCAATCCTTCCTTCTGCTCATTCAACTTCTGGACTTTTTTCTAGAACATCTACTTCTCTCCCTCATCCCTGTGCCACCATCCTTCAATGCACCCTGTTTTCTTTTCTGGATTAGTCTCCTCAGATCTACCCTTGCTGCCCTCCAATCCAGACTCATTTTTTTAAAGTGAAAATGTTATCCTGTCTAAAACCATCTAACAGCCTCCCAGCGATGGTTACAGATCCTCCCATCTTAATAAGAATTCAGAGATTTTTACTTAAATCTCTGAATCCTTATAAGAGTCTATAGAACCCTTGATGATGTCATCTGGAGCTCTCTCTCCAGATGTTTCTCGTGCCACTGCCTCATCATCATCTCCTTTTTTTTTGAGAGGGAGTCTTGCTCTGTCGCCAGGCTGAAGTACAATGGTGCGATTTTGGCTCAGTGCAACCTCCACCTCCCAGGTTCAAGTGATTCTCCTGCCTCAGCCTCCTGAGTAGCTGGGATTACAGACACGAGCCAACACGCCTGGCTAATTTTTGTATTTTTAGTAGGGACAGGGTTTCACCATGTCTGCTCTCGAACTCCTGACTTTGTGATCTGCCTGTCTTGGCCTCCCAAAGTGTTAGGATTACAGGCATGAGCCACTGCACCTGACCACCATCATCTCTTAAGAGGCTCCTAAAAAATTCAACGATGAAGAATAACTCAGGAGGACCTTAACATACGAATACTGCGAAATACCTCAAAAACAAACAAAAAAATCCTTACAGATGTTCCAAATCAACTGACCTTTGTTTGCAACTTAAGCCAGTTCTCATTATTCACATTTATCAAAAGTAGTTTTGAAATATCTTTTGTTACCATGAGGGTATAGTTTATTATATAATGACTCCAATTGAAAAACTGCTTATTCTTTTCAGACAATGAAGTCATTGAACTTTTGTAAGGTTCTAAAGGTCCTTCAGCCCATGGATCCCAGGATTTTCCAGGCCAGTAAAAAAAATTAATGAGGCTTTGTCACAGGAGGGTCCAAACTTTTATTGGGCCAAATGAAGATGTTAAAACAAAATAAATCCCATGCACATAACACATTTACCTCTGCCATTAGTTTATTTTTAAGAACATGTTAGAAACAATGAAAACTGGAAGTCCATACAATCAGAAAAGATTAATATTCTAAATTAATAATTTTAGTTTTACAACTTTATTTTTCTCAGTTCATTGAAAATTTGTGAAAACAGCTTCCCAAACTGACACCAGTGACCACACTAGACTTCGATAACTGCTGTTCTAGACAAGAACTATTATATCCATTGAAAGGTTATTGATTCTTCTGAAAATAGCTATTTTTTTTTTTTTTTGAGATGGAGTTTCACTCATGTTACCCAGGCTGGAGTGCAATGGCGCGATCTCGGCTCACCGCAACCTCCGCCTCCTGGGTTCAGGCAATTCTCCTGCCTCAGCCTCCTGAGTAGCTGGAAAATAGCTATTAAAATATTTTTGCTAGAATAAATAAAGCTGTTGAGAAAGACGAAAAAACAGCCTCCAACAACCAAAACTGCGCTGACTTCCACAGCTACACCTCAATATTGTTGAGAAAGACGAAAAAACAGCCTCCAACAACCGAAACCGCGCTGACTTCCACAGCTACACCTCAATATTATTACAAGCTGATCTGACACTCACGACCAGGTAAGCTCTGTTTTCCTTCTTGACATCAACAATCTCACTGATACCTAACTCAGATAAGATTACTCTGAGGTGTGACGCAATGAGACAAATTAATGCCACTTGAGGATTTTGTCCAAGCACAGACAAAAAACAAGGACACTGCAACTCACAAAGCACCAAACATCCCCTTCTCTTGCTAAACAGAATGATTGTTATTTCTTTACTTAATCATAGAATTCCCCCCACTTTCCAAAAGTATTCTATCTACAGCAAAGCCTGGTTCCTTAGTCTTACCCCAAATCATGCAACCGAAGTTCAAATTCTGTAATGGGTTTTTTTCCTACAACCTTCCGTCGCTCATGGTATGTGTTTTCCTTTGCCTGCAAGAACACTAAACCCAATTTGTTCAACTCATGGTGTGTTCCTGGTGGTCTCTGAATAAAGGGCCCTGATATTATTAACATATCAAATTCTTTCAAAATTCCCATAATACCAACTACCCTGAAGCAAATTAATTCCCTACCCACAGTAAAGCAATTTTATTTGATGGTCTTTCAATCATGTCCACATGTATGTACTGTGTATTTTCCTGTTACAGGAAAAACTGTATATACTATTCTGGATTCTACTTTTATTTACTGAACACTTTATCAGTTTTAAAGGCTGAGTCATATCCCGCCATGATTTGAAAGAATTTCTCCTTACAGGTATAAAAGAAGAGAATGCACATCTTGCTTCTACTTTCTACATCCTACCTAAGCTATTCAAGACCATCTTCATCTAGCATCAGACCAGATGCGCCGGGTTCCTACTTATCCGATCTGTTGACAAAGACAAACGCAGTCTGATTGCTTTATAAAGAAATGAATTATGAAAGAGCGCTCAGGCATGCTTCAGTAAACAACGTGACCTCTGGCTAAAGATTTTCTCACTCTAGGTCTACTTCCTCTTCTGTAAAACGAAAGAGTCACGCTCTTCCCTCACTGTCTCTTACAGTTAGGAAGTCCGTGGCCCTGTGACTTGCTTGCGGGAAAGAGCCACGGGACAGGCAATCCCATGACTTGGGTGCAAGAGGCCACGGGGGGGGGGGGGCTCAGGGGACTGCTCTCGGCTGCTTGCACCGCCCAGACTTGGGACCAATCAGGTCCCAGGGCCTTGCAGGATCCCGTGGTGAGTTCCAGTTGAACTCCTTCGGGAGAAAGCACCTGACCATCAAACAGTCTGTCGCTGGACTGAGTAATGCACACAGGTCGACCGGAACATTTTATTTAAACAGTTCAGAATGCAAGGGCCTGGAACTGGTTGTTTAAGTACACTCACTCAAATTTGAGGATGTGCGAATCACACCAAGGTATCCTGCAGAGATTAGGATTTCTTTTAAAGGTGTTCTAGTTCCAGGTAGCACGGAATCAACCGACGACGGGGTTCACCAGCCCGCTTTGGACCCACACCCCTGTGCACAAACCAGAGACCCCCGTAAAGACGCTGCCCGGGACCAGGTGTTCCGCGTCCACGCCCGCCCCGCCACACCTGCGCCCGCACCTGCACGCCCGTCTCCGTGCCCCGGCTCAAGCTCACTCACCGGCGGCGCGTGCTGCGCCACGGCACAGCTGACTGCGGCAGCCAGAAGGACGAAGGCGACGAGACTCCGGCCCAGCATCGCTCCAGGAGCCAACGCCACTCTCCGGATACCCGCAGAGGCAACAAGAAGAGTCGCCTGGGCCGGGCGCAGGCCACACCCACCCCGCCGCGTGACCCGCGACCGCACCATTCCAGGCGGTGGCGTGGGGGGGCGCTCGAAGGAGGCGGTACTGGGAGGACGGATGGGGCTTTTCAATGCAGAGAAAAGGGCGGCGGAGAGAAAGCGAACCTTCCAGGCTGCGGAGGGACCCGCAGAAGGAGAGCCGCGCTCGCCTCTGGCGCGCGGCCTGATCTATCCCTTCCCCTCGACCACCGCGGGCAACGGTCGGACCCAGCCGGAGCCGGAGCCCCGCCCCGTGGGTGGAGCCGGGAGCGTCACCCGGACAGCGTTGCGGGGACGCCTCCTGCAGGCGGGTGACGCCTGTCCCGGGTCCCCAAGCACCCTCAGTACCCACGAAACGGACCCAAAGAGTCTCAACACCAATGTAACATCCCACCCTGACCCATCTTTGCCCTCTGAGGAAAGCGGGCCCGAAATGAGTTGAGTTATTCATCCCCACCGCGGGGTCAGGGACAAGGAGCAGTGGAGTGGCGGGGGAGGGAGAGAACCGAATCTAGTCAGGTCCTCCAAGCTGTGGGTTACCCACTTGGGCTTTCAGAGCAGAGCTCCCAAGTCCCAAAATTGGGGTCTCGGTGACGCGCATAGACTCGGGTGGGAAGGCCGGTGGGACCCGCGAGCCTTCTCTCCGTGCCAGACTGTTTCCTCCTAACTGGCGGAGGACTTAGGTTAGCGGAGCTGAGCTCCGCCTGGGAGGAGGCGGACGCCAGTAGCTCGACAGGGGGACTCACTTGGCTTTCGTGCCATCCGTGGGCGCAATCGCGCGGGTAGGTGACCGGGTTGGATTCCAGAGTCCACCAGGAAGTCCTGACCTCTGGGTTGCACTTCCTCGTTGAGTCTCTGACCATCCCAGCAATGTTTTAATGCTTCGATGAAGCTCAGCACGCGCTGAAATCACCATCTATTTTTTTTTCTTTTTTTGCATGTATGAGAAAGGACAACACATTGCAGTTTTATCTATTTGTATTATTTCTTTAGAAAACTCAACAATCTTTTTGTTGTAGGTGGGGAAATGAGAAGGTGATATGTTTTGCTTTTTTTTTTTTCCTTTTTTTTTTTTTTTTTAAAGAGGGAGTAGATGACAGTGTTATTCTCCTTAAGGAGGAAGTTTCGCTTTTGAAACATAACACATGCTTAAAGCACATGTGAGTTCCTGCATGAACAGTAAGCCTTCAGATGGTAGAAATATTCGTTATTAATATAAAAATATTTACCGCGGATCTACAACGTGCCAAGCACATCTCCCGACACTGGGGATAAGCAGTGAACAACAATAAGATAAAGTTCTTCCACCAGGAGGCTTATGTTCTAGCTGAGAAATGGGCAATAAACATAAGAAAATTACATGGGATGTTAGTGATAAATGCTACAGAGAAAAAACGGGTCCAGGGGCATCAAGTGTGGAGCTCAGAAGTGGGAGCGTCACAATTCTAAATAAGAGGGACAGATAGACATGATTAAGGAGGTGAAGTTTGAGCAGACATTTGAGGGAGGCCAGGAGGCTAGTTTGTGGGTGCCCAAGAAAGAGTATTCTAGGCAGACAGCAGCTGTTAAAAGGCTTAAAAGGGAGAATGTGCCTGGCATGTTCGGCTACAGCAGAAGTCTGGCACAGAAGAAACAAGGGGAAAGGAAGAAGGAAGTATTAATAGATAAAGTAAGAGAGTTAAGGAGAGCAGGGCAAATTCTCTAAGGCATTCAGAGTCATTTCACTCCGGAAAAAAAATGTGTAATGTTGATACACGTGTTAAGTGTTAAATATATTGAAGTGCCTTGGAGCTTAAAATAAGTGTGCCAGGAAGAAGAGAATTCCCATCTCTTAGTTGTTATTACTAAATCATATAGCTATTTGATTTGAAGATCATTCATCTTCAGTACTCTTGAGAGCGATTTAAACATGTCACCAGGCATATTTTTTCCCCTACGAAAGGATGTTAATTGGTGATTGGGTAGCCTAGCAAAATCAGATTCTTTATGGAAAAAAGTTGTCAATTGACATACTATTCTTAGGCACCACTGTCGGAGAATTAGGCATCTAACTTCCAAAGGCCTATTATATATTGTTGATTATCTTTTCAGATAAAATGTAAATCTGTTTCCTTGAAATTAAACCATTTTATGCATGTCTTTTTTTTTTTTTCCTTACACATACATCTTTTTCTTCTTCTCCTTCTTTTTTGCCTAAGCCTATACTAGAAATGTACAGAAAGTCAAGGCAAGGTGTGTGCAGGAGACTTGGCAGTGGTTTTTGGCATACTGACCTATTCATAGAAAATGGAATTTAATGTATAAATGCATGATTATGACCATGGAAAGGGTGGTTCAATATTGTATAGAAGCATCAAGACTCGGATAACCTGTTTAGTGTGCAAGAATCAGCATATATAATCAGATTGTTTATGGAATAGCTGAAGTTCTTGGCAAGCTGTGGACTTCCTAATCTCCTACCCAACATTCCTAGGTTTCTGAGGTGGAGTCTTGATTTCAAAGCATTGCAACCTAGCCACCACACCCTAAATGAAATCTATCACCTATAACACCACATAACCTGGAACAGGTTTGACTTGATTTACAAAAAACCGAATATACAAAAATGTGTACTAAAAGGTCAAGATAATGTTTCAGTTTGAGAAATAAACAGAAGTATTAACCAATGGGTTAATTTTTTTCAAGGCTTAGTGTATTTAAAATGCATTCTGAGTTTCAAACAGGTTTTTGTTCAGCTCTTCAGGAAAGGATCTAGATAAGATCCTTTAAAAATGGAAAATCAGAGATCATAAAAAATTATTGTTTTTCTCTAGTAGCTTTATCACACTAAAAATGATTATGTTTTGTTTTTATTTTTTTGTCTTCTTGAGAGAGGGTCTCTCTCACTCAGTCACCCAGGCTAGAGTGCAGTGCTGCAGGACGATAGTTTTGAGCGTCAACCTCCTGAGGTCAAGCTATCCTCCCGCCTCAGCCTCCTGAGTAGCTGAGACTACAGGCACATGCCACTGTGCCCAGGTAATTTTTTTTTTTTATCTGCAGAGACAGGGTCTCCCTATGGTGCCCAGGCTGGTCTCAAACTCCTGGGCTCCAGTGATCCTCCCACCTTGGCCTCCCAAAGTGCTGGGATTACAGGCTTGAGCTACTGTGCCCAGCTTGTTTTATTTTTAGATTAACAAAAATGTTAAATCATCACCTTCAGCTTGAGGTGTATTGGTACTGTACTTTATTCCATTAGAGAACTACAAATTTAGTGCTCACGTTTAATGTAATTGTCACTCTATATAATACCACAATAAAATAGTTATATTATTTTTTAAAATGTTTAAGTTCTGGGATACATGTGCAGAACATGCAGGTTTGTTACATAGGTATACATGTGCCATGGTGGTTTGCAATGGTTTGCAATGGTTTATCAATCCATCATCTAGGTTTTAAGCCCCACATACATTAGGTATTTGTCCTAATGCTCTTCCTCCCTTTGTTCCCCCCATATCAATTATTCTCTACTTTGCACTTACCTTTCTGTTTCTATTGAAACATTTTGATGTCTCATTGAATCCCTGACACCCCAAACATGTTGGAATTTGAGGAGCCAATTAAAAAAAACTCCTTTGTTCTATTTTCACTTTTCTTGATGAGACCTATAGTTCTGATCCCAAAATTATTTTCAATTTAACTCAAATGTGATTATCTCTCGACGTTTTTGCCATTCTGACTTCATATTTCTGCACAGTTCCATTTTTCATAGTGCCATTTTACATAAGTAATTATAGTTACCTATTTAATCTCCAAGGAGTTATTTCTAATTAGTTTGTGCTAAATTTGTTTATTCTCCCATACATATTGAGCACTTAATGTAGAGTCTGGGTAAATAGTGAACACATGATTCCTGCCCTCATGGGCTTTCAGTCTACTGGTAGAGAAAAACAAAGATGGAGAAGAACATGTAAATCCAACAAATATCTTGGAACTTTCATACATTTCAGTCATTATTCCAGACTCTACCATCTGGTTTAATATGATACATTGGGAATGTTTTACCAGCCTCAATTCCACTTCTTCATTATGTGGCAACTATGTGGCTTAGATGAGACACATTCTTACCCTTACCTTTGGGGGCAAGCCCCAGTTGGCTATGACATTTAAAGTCTTCCTGTCCCTCTTGCCACAGTGCTTGGCTTAGGCCTTAGTCACTCAGATGCTTAAACCAAACAGGTCATGGTTTGAAGCTCAGGACCTTTGCTCTATAACTGAAGCAATTGCCCTCTTTCTTCTTTTCTTTTCTTTTTTTTTTTTTTTTTTTTTTTTTTTTTTTTTTTTTTTTTGAGATGGAGTTTCACTCTTGTTGCCCAGGCTGGAGTGCAATGGCACAATCTCAGCTCACTGCAACCTCTGCCTCCCAGGTTCAAGCAATTCTTCTGCCTCAACCTCCTGAGTAGCTTTGGTTACAGGTGGCTGCCACCACTCCAGCTAATTTGTTGTCTTTTTAGTAGAGACAGGGTTTCACCATGTTGTCCAGGATGGTCTCAAATGCCTGACCTCAGGTGATCAACCTGCCTCGGCCTCCCAAAGTGATGGGATTACAGGTGTGAGCCACCACGCCGGGCCTTGTTCTCTCTCTTCTAATAGGAAAGAGGAAGCTAGGAATCCCCATTGCTGCCAGAAGGCATGCTATAAACCTGAAGGGAGCCACCTAAGATGAAACTGATACTGTGGACAGTGGAAAGATGGGAAGAAACTGGGTCATGGATGACATTGTCAAGATGCTAGCTCAACCAACTACAGAGCCTGTCCAACAACTGGACTCTTCATTTACATCACCCACTATTCTGTTACTGAAGCTAGGTCAAGTTGGTTTGCTTGCAAGTTAAATTATTGTATCTGAGAGCCTGCTAACTGATATACACATAAAAATAGACATTTCTCCCTTTTTAAGAGGAGAGGAGGATGTACAGTAAATCTATGAAGCTGAAGTTTTATTACCTTCACTTGCTCATACCCCTTCCCAGCCTTTTACTGAATTTTACACTTGTAATTTTGTATTTTTCTCCTTAAAGAGGACCACTCAAATTGCATAAGATTCAGGTATCACAAAACCTGGATCTAGCATCAGAAGCTTCTGGGAGAAAACTTCTACCTTTCTCTGCAATCCCCTCTATTCATGTCTCCCTAGGGAAGGAGAGAT